TACGCAGGTCAACAAAACATTAAGCAATGGGGATAAGGTCATCCATCTATGACTTATATGTAAAATGTCAATAGACCAGAATCATAAAAATAAATAAATAAATAAAAGTACGTGATAGGCCAATATTCTAATTAACATTTCGGATATCACTTTCAAGGAAAATATAATATACTGAGTTCAAATGCCTGTGGCTCTATTATTATGTGAAAGGCGGCTGGCCTAATAAACAATCATTGGCAAAGAATTAGAAAAATAGTTAATTTAGTTGATTACATTAAAAATATCAACAATTTATATGATTTTTTTTTGACAAAATTACCAAACCCTACTCTTTTAATTTCTTTTCCCCTAATTAATTAAATGTGGAGTAATTAAAGTAAGGGTGTTCGGTTTGTCCCGTCTCGGTCCTGATGAGTTTGGGACGGAGCAAAAAAAATTTTAGGACAGGACAAGTACGGGACGGGACGGGACAGGAACAGTGACATGACGGGAGGGGACACGGGACGGGGTTGTCCCGTCCCGTCCCGTCCTAGGTTTTTTTTTTTAAAAAAAATTCTTTATTAATAATAATTATTAGATTATTTAATTTACTTAATAATAATAATATATTATTATAGTATTTTTAGCTCTTAAGTTGTAGTATTATCTCAACAATATCTCATTCCTCAATAAAATAATTCATAAAGCTATTATATAGTGTTTCTTTTACTGTTTTTTTTACAGTATTGTTTTTACATCCTTTTTATACTATATAATTGAGCTTTCTACATAATATTTTTTATAATATTTTTTATTTTAGAAGTCCAATAAAAAATAAACATTATAACATAAAAAATTCACATAAAAAATTATAGTATTTAAAAAAAAAAGAGGGGGAAAGGGACTTCCCGTCCTATCTTGGTCCCAACAACCAGGACGAGACGGGACACGGACTAAAACCCTGTCCCGTCCCTGTTCACTGGGATGGGACCAAGCCTGTCTCGGTCCCATCTCGTGAACACCCCTAATTAAGAGCATTTTTTTTAAAAGAAAAAATTTAGTGTAGTAGATATTTTGTAAATAAATTCTTATTAAAAGAATCAAGACAAATTTTCTATCCTGTAAAAATATTAAAAGCAGTAAATTAGTTTATTATTTTATTAAAACTAATATTTAATTTGATTAAATAGAAAAGTAAACGAGTAAAGTAAATGACCTCTATGTTGCATAAAAATGGCTTAAAAAAACAAAGGCTGAATCTAATTCCATGGCAATATTCTAAATTAACAGACAGAAAGTATAACAGAGGAAAAGTGTGGAAAACAGAGCTTGCTGGTAGTCCATAGAGTTCAATTACTATTGAGGACTTAACATCCCGAAGCCCAAACCACTGATCATCAAAATCATAGACTCTCCTTCAAATTGCCCCTTTTAATATGTGAGAGAAACTCGGGATGGGTCATGGGTGTATATTTGAGTTCTAATTTTTTTTAAGGTTTAAAGACCTTGTTTTGATAAAAGCATGGCTCAAAGCAGGGGTGCCCAAAAACAGAGTGAGACCAGAGATACCCATCCACGTCTATATTTATCGCATTTTTGTTTTTTGTTAATTGATGTTTTGGTGTCCAGGTGAGTGGTGGAGAAGCTAAAGGCATTTAAGAGCGGAGCATCTCGAATCTGGCCATTGTAGATGGGATGGAAAGCGAGGCTTGGGAAAGAGGATGGTAAGAACAGGGGAAGGCAGAGGAGAGATTCTGTTCCGGAATCGGTAAATCTGCACCTTAACTAAAATGCTAGTTGTCACGGTTTATTGTCATTTTATATAATTTTTTTTTACCAGCGTCATTTTATATAATTAAAGTTGTTATTTTTTAAAACTCAAATAGTCATTAATCCTAAGATTACCTATTTCTTAATAACTCGCTAGTTCCCCGTGATAGAGGGATTTTTTTTTTTTTTAATTGAGCACCAATTCCAACCTGCTTCTACAAGCAATTGGATTTCTTAAGTCAAGCTTCAAGATTTTGGTTGGAAACAAGTTCAAATCAAGTGTCAGGCTTCAAGAGCTTCAAGAATTTCCCAAGAATTAGATGAATCATTCCCGAGCTGTTTTCCTCTAAGAGCGCTGCTTACATATGTGTGGATGGAAATAAACTACTACTTCAAATGAGTCTTCTTCTTCTTCTTCTTTTTAAGTATTAATTCATTTGAAGAGAAAACAATACTGAAGATTGTGACAATCACGGTGTGGAATGGTCAAAAACCCCATATTTACACTTATTATAGTTTTCTCCTTCTATCAGTGCGCTCTATATTTGTGAATTAAAAATTCAGATTTTTTTCCTTCATTTCACATTTGTTGAACAAAAATCACACATTTTATTTTAAGAAAAAAAATTTAGGTCAAGTTTCTGATGTATATTATGTCAAGTTTTCCAATCCTACATGACCATATATCTTTTTCTGTTTTATGTGAATTTATAATTAAATGCTATTAAATGCTAATATTTCAAAAATAAGACATATGGTCATGTGTTATTGAAAAAACTTGACATAATGAATATAACAAATTTGATGTAAGCGTTTTTCTTTATTTTAAATTACATACAGACACTCCCTATGTCATTTTATGTATGCCTGTCTTGAAGGCCTGAAATTTATCATGCACTTTCACATTAATTATTACTTTTGTTGTGCCTGAGGCTGTATTTTCATATTTTCTTTCATGTTTATTCAGAACTGTATTATCATGAATATCGTTACATTTCTTCTCATTTCTCAGAGCCATTAAATTATGTAATTTTTTTCGTTCTCTGCTATTTCTTTTAATACCAACTTAGGTGTATTTGTACCCATGGGCAAAAATTACAATCTATTTGTTTTACTAATACGAGTTGCAATTTGGCAGCAACGCGTAGAGCCTCAATAAATACAATTGTAAGATTAACATTTACATCATAGCATGTAGTAATATCGATGGATATTTAGACACTGAAGGAGCAGCTGCATGATTCACGTACCAAAGTAACACTTTATTCTAGCACAATCATTGACATTAATTTGTTCATAAAAGAAGAGTCTTAAAGAAGATCTGAGATTGAAATATAGTTCATGAAAAGTAAGGAACTTTCTCAGGGCAGAAATTTATCATGACAACATATTAAAAGTGGCATCTGAAGTTTATCCTTTGACGTTGCAGTCAATTTTGACTTCTTTCCCCAAGAGCAAGAGCATTTTTAATTTGATTTAGCTCCCTTAGTACACCCATCATGTTCATCCTTTTTTTAGAAGATTCTACTGAACAAGCAAGTCCAATTTCAAACAGTAAAATTAGAATCTTCTCATGGTGGGGATGCACAAGAGCCACCTCCTCCATCCTAATTTCTTCTTTAGCTACTATTGCTGTTTGTTGTACTTGCTGGCATACAAGAGTTGTGTCTACGATCTTCAAAAGATTGTTTGGAAATGCAGCTTTGACGTAACTATGAAGATTGTGGCCATCTTCAAATATTAGATCTGTTGGTCTTTTTCCGGTTAACATTTCCAAAATAAGAATACCAAAAGAATAGATGTCACCTTGTATTGATACCTCAGAAGTTATTCCATACTCTGAAATGTGTTAGGATATGGTTAACGTTTAGAAATTCACTGTGTTGAAATTAACAAAATAAAAAGAAGATTTCATAAAAGGAATGGAATTTACAAGAACTTCAAGCCAATAAAGATGTTACCTGGAGGAGCATAGCCAATCGTTCCTTTTATTATAGATGTGCTTGCTTGTTTTTGAGAACTACCATTAAGGGTTGCAAGTAGTTTTGCTAACCCAAAATCACTTACATGAGCTACCATATCATCATCAAGAAGGACATTGCTAGGCTTTAAGTCACAATGGACAATTGGTTGCTCATTTTCATAATGAAGATAATGTAGTGCCGCTGCAACATCATATATAACATTAAATCTTTGACAAATATCTAATGTTGACTGAGGTACGCTTTCTTGATTGTGATGTAACCATTTCTCAAGGCTTCCGTTTGACATGTACTCAAACACTAGTGCCTTAAATTCTTGTCCCTTATAATCAATGCTTGAGCAACATGTTAAAATTTTTAGCAAATTTTGATGCCTTATGTTTCTCAATGCATTACATTCTGAAATGAAACTCTTTTGAGCTCCCTTCTTTTGAAGGTTCAGTACCTTTATTGCAACAACTTTATCTTTCAATTCTAGCCTTCCTTTATATACTGAGCCAAAACTTCCAAATCCAATCAAATTGTTGGTGGAGAAACCTTTAGTTGCCATGTGTAGATTTTGATATGACACCTTGGGAAATTGTTCAATTGCAGGTGAGCTTGAAGATGATTTCCTGTTTCTTTCTCGCCTCCAATAGAAACCAAACAAAATTATAAGAAAAAGAGAAGAGGCCACACAAATCAAAATAATCATGAGCTTCAGATTATGTTTTGTTTGTGTGTCAACTCTCTTAGGGCATGGAGGTAAGTGCAACTTAGAAATTCCCCCACAAAGATTGATATTTCCAGAAATTGATATTGCACTTGCATTGCTGAAAACCCCTTCTGTTGGCACCTCACCATCAAACTTATTGAAGGAAACATTTAAGTATTGAAGAGAAGAAATGTTTTGTAGGCCAGCTAGCATAGGCCCAGATAGGTTATTTTGTGATAAATCCAAATGCTCAAGACCTTTCATCAAAGCTAGAGAAGGAGGCATGGGCCCATTGAAGGAATTTCCTTGCAAGTTAAGGTATTCCATACTTGTGCACTCTCCTATGGTTAAAGGAATCTCTCCGGAAAGATTATTTCTAGAGATATCCAACTTGCCAAGGTTTTTAAGATTTCCTACCTCAATTGGCAAAGATCCATTAAATGAGTTGTGAGATAAGTTTAGTGAAATGGACAAGGAGGGGAGACCAGAAATCTGCAAGGGTATAGCTCCATTGAAATTGTTTTCTGAAACGTCTAGCTCTTGCAAATTTTTCATGTTCCCAATTGTGGTAGGAATTTTTCCGTCAAGAATATTCATTGAAATTCTTAGCGCAGACAATTGGCTAAGGTTCCCTAAGGAAGCTGGTATCTCTCCTGAGAGTTGGTTTTTCTCAAATGCTAACCCTTGTATCCTGTGAAGATTGCCGAAAGAAACTGGAATGATGCCAGAAAAGTTGTTTTTTCCTAGACTCAAGAGAATTAAATTTGTCAATTTTCCTAAACTATCAGGAATAGGACCATATATCAGATTATCAATCAAGTACAGTTCACTAAGTTGGGTTGACAAATTTCCTATGTTGCTGGGTAAAGTGCCTATGAATTGGTTTCTAGACAAAGCTAATATTTCTAATTTACTATAGTTTGTTAGAGACGTTATGAAATCCATGTTCTTGTTGGAACCATTACCAAGATTATTAGAATCTAAATTAAGTATCATCAAATCTTTTAGGTTTCCTAGACTTGGAACTTTTCCAACAAAATAGTTACCAGAAATATCAACCTGTTGAAGAGAAGAGGCATTTGTGATGGAATTTGGGATTGAACCTGAAATTTGATTCCCACCTATGAAAAAGAGTTTCAAATTAGTGAGGATGGAGAACATGCTGTTTGGAAGTCGAGTGCCATTGAGATAGTTTCCAGGTACTGATATCATAGAAAGAGATGATAGATTGTAAAGTGAAAAAGGAAGAGCCCCAGACAAAATATTCTCTGATGCTTCAAAATATATCAAGTTCTTCAATTGGCCTATCTCCTCCGGTATGCTTCCTTCCAACTTATTATCCCCCATTCCAAGATAAGTGAGCGAAGTAAGATTCCATATAGATAATGGGATCTTTCCAGTTAAATTGTTGCCAAAAAGTTGCAACTGTTCAAGCTTCTGAAGAGCCCCTAACTGATATGGTATTGTACCACTAAGACTATTCCTTCTCAAACTAAAGATCCTCAATTCAGTACAACTTGTCAAGTTCCAGGGAATCTCTCCTGTCAATGTGTTGCTTGGGAGCAAGATTTTCTTTAGCCTGAACAAATGTCCCAACTCTGGTGGAATTTCTCCATGGAAACTATTGTTTGAAAGGGAGAGATATCTCACGAAAGAGAGATTGCCAATGTGGGGCGATATGATCCCACCAAGCTGATAGCCTCCCAAATTCAACTTGGTGACTCGCTGATGCTTGTGGCCGCATGTGATTCCAGTCCAACTGCAGAAGTGTTTCGAACTATTCCAAGAGCTCAAGATTTCATGAGGATCATCAGTTATTGATTCTTTAAACTTGAGCAATGCCAAATAATCAGTCTCATTTGATGCAGCTCTAACATGCTGGAAGCAAAGCAAGTTTATGTAGAAGATGACAAGGATTAATGGTTGAAGGTAGTATTTGGAAAGAAATGAAAATGAACCGGGGGCAAAAGCCATGGTCATGCTGAAGTGTGTAAATGGTTTTGTGGATTCATATATTGAAATGGTATGCTGCTTTTAATTTATAGGAGCTTTAGTCTGTTATTAATTAAACTTAATACTACAATGCATCCAAATTATGCGCCGTGTTTAATTTCCAATGAATTTTCACAGCCTAATATCTTGACTTTATACAACGCATTTTATATTATTAAAAATATTCAAATAGAAAATTGAGTGTATTGAAAAACTGAAGGTGAAGAGCGTGAATGCTTTGCAGAGACGTGTATTGAAACTAGAGCTTTGTCCTTTTTTTGACCTGAGATTAGAGCTTTGTTCGTAGCTTATGTTTTGCCTTTTTCATTTGAGTCTTGACGACGTACAGGTGCCATACTGTCATGAGTTATCGCAGCGGTCCTACAGTTTACTTTTGGCTTTTTGACTGAAATACTATAAACAGCAAAACATAATGTTCGAATACTGCATTATCAAAATTATTTACTCAAATGCTATGCGCAAAATAGTTCTTAAAGAACGAGTTTAATTTACAACACAACTTTATCTTGATTAAACGATTTCTAAATTGATTTCATTTTTTTAATATTTTTCCGCTTCTTAATATAAGACTTATTTAATTAATTTGATTAGATTAATAAAGTTAGATAAGTTAGTTAATTATAAGAAATATAATATGTTTTTCTTAAAATACTATAATCATTTTTCTTAATATTCTTATTCTCTTACTTACTTGATTATAATTGAGAGAATATTCATAGAGATAATTTTAAAAAATTAATAAATATAAAAAATAAATCTTATATTTAAGACTAAAATTAACTTAATAATTAAATCTCATAATAAAAACTAGAAGAATATTTTGTTTTTCAAAAAAACAGGCTGTCCTCTGTCACTTCTATTATAGCCTCCCCTCAAATCAACTCCCCACCGCTCCTTCCTTTTTCCTCCCCTTTTCCCTTCTGCTTCCCTAGTAAGTCCCCGTGGGTTACACACACGCGCATACATATACATATATATATAATTTAAAACTAATTACTTCATATGCTTGTATATATAAATAAAATTAATTTTTTTTTGCTGTAACTTAAAATATCCTCATGTTATTTTAGATTTGATACTAATTTATGTTAAATTCAAATTTATGTTTTTTATCTTACAAGGATGAGACTATTTACCATATTAACAACAGCTTGTACATCATGAGCATTGTTTTTAATTTATTTAGGATTGATAATTGTACGTATTTATGTCTTTAAAGAAATTAATTGAGTTTCCTTAAGTTATCTCTTCAACCATCTACATTGAAAATTACGTGCAATAAATCATCAATAGAAATAATTTTATAATGACCACATGTAATTAGAGGACTTGATATAGTAAATATACAAATTTTACATAAATATTTTTATAAATTAATATATGTGCATTATAATATTTATTTAATTAATTAATGCATCAAATTTTTAATGAGTTACTCAATAAATTAAAATAACTTGATTAATAATTTAAAAATTAATATTTTAACTAATTACAGAATATTTTTTATATTTATAATTCACTATTTTACAGAAAATTAATTTTGCAAGGAAATTAAATACAATCAAGCTCCAAGGGGCTTGAGAATACAATTCCTAAAAGTCTAAAACTTTTATAAATAAATTAAATGACCATGACTTATTTATATTTTTTCTGAAAAAAATTTCAAAAAAAAAGTCTTGAATTTTGAAATTTCAAATCCATCATATTTACTGATTATACTTGAAAAATATATAATAATATATTTTCGTAATAATTCCTAATTTATCATTTAGTAATTTTCAGAATATTTTATTGTCCTTTTTTAAAATAGATTTTTTGTTCATTTCATCACAATAAAATCACTGCTTTTGGTTTCCAACCTTAACCATTCTTGTTCTTTCTGAAAAACGCGTACAAAAAAAGAATGAAATTAATTTTATTCTATAATAAAACTAATTCCAAATATATATATTTTTGTGTAAAGGATCAAAATGCATTGCGAGCAGAAAGTAAGACCCGAGGACATGAAAAAGAGGGATGAGCATTTAAGGGGTAGCATCTTGAGTAGTTACAATAATAACTTGGATAAAAAAACACCCAGCACCCCAATCTTTTTTTTTTTTAGGAGCGCCTACCACCTCAATCTTTTTTTTAGTGCAATTTTACCTGTCATCTTTTTTTTTTTAGTGCAATTGAACTCAATTCCAACGGATCCCTTAACGTCTGTTAAGAAATTTTTTTTTATAAGTCCACATCAGCACGGCTAAGAGGATGAAAACTGACAGATAATACAAAGAAGGGAAAACACAAACCGAGCTTGTGCGACCACTTTGCAAGCACCGGAACCCCACCTATTTGTGTGATTGGGAACACTAGCATCTAGTGAAGGAGAAGGCAACAAATTCATGTGAGGAAAGTTGTCTTGATTTGGAAAGGTAACAACCTTACTTTTGTTTTCCTTGTATGGTCCCACGTTTGAAATCGGGTTTGTTGAAAGGAGTTTTATAATAAAAAAATGACGAGAGATGCGAACCTGGGAAATGATGTGGACGAAGATGATATGGCGTGGGATGAAGATGATGTGGCGTGGGATGTGTCAGTTGCCAAAGATGATGTGGCGGTCCATTTGTCGGTGATTGAAGATGATCTGGAGATCGTCAATTGCTCTAACATCAATGTAGGGACAAGGAAGCTGCGTTGAGGAACAAGATATGAAGTTCAACATATTGGTAAGGCTCATATAGTTGAAAGAATTTCTGAAGTAGTTTGAGAAGGATAATCAACTGCATTAATATCATGATGAATTCGAATGATAAGAATTTATTCAATTACAATCAGGTATGTGATTATCGTTTGGCTACGAAGTTGGGGCTGTCTAAGATCAAATGTCATGAATATGTACTCGAGAAGACTAAAGATCAGTTCTTGAATATGTATTCGAGAAGACTAGTTTTCAAATATGTATTCGAGAAGACCACTTCTCTAATATATATTCAAGAATTGGAGCCCATTCTCGATGCTTAGCTAACTAGCTCCAATGCTTGCTAAGGTCGATTTTACCTTAGCAATGGAGATTTTTTATTCACTGTCTTCCTCGCAACCTTCACTGCTGGAATTTGCAATTAGTTTAGGGTTTCAATGCTTGCAAAGTCAAATTGCTCCTCTAAAACAAAAGAGATGGAGTATGATGGAAAACAAAAGTAAAATTTCAAAGTAAGGTTGTTACCTTCCCAAATCAAGACAACTTTCCTCGCACGAATTTGTTGCCTTATCCTTCACCAAATGCTAGTGTTCCCAATCGCACAAACAGGTGGGGTTCTGGTGCTTGCAGAGTGGGTGCACGAGTTCGGTTTGTTTTTTCTCTTCTTTGTATTATCTGTCAATTTTCATCCTCTTAGCCGTACTGATGTGGACTTATTAAAAAAAATTTCTTAACAGACATTAGGGGGTCTGTTGGAATTGGGTTAAATTGCACTAAAAAAAATAGATGATGGGTAAAATTGCACTGAAAAAAAGATTGGGGTGGTGGGTGCTCCTAAAAAAAACGATTGGGGTGCTGGATGTCCCTTTACCCTAATAACTTTACAAAACTTTTGAAGTAAAAACGGGGGAAAATGGCAATTAGGTCTCACTCAAGAAATTAAATACAAATAGGTCCCTTGAAATCTTGAAATTATTTTAAAGTCCCAAATTTTTTTTATTTACTTACCAAAATACCCTTCTTGTTTTTTTTTAAAGTTTGCATTGACAACTGAAAAAGCAGTGGTTGACAACTCAGGATGCAAGGATTGACAACTATCGCGACTGGTTTGACAACTTATGGTGTGATATGCTGAGAAAATGTGTTGTCAAACCAGCTGCGATAGTTGTCAATCCTTGCACCCTGAGTTGTCAACCACTGCTCTTTCAGTTGTCAATATAAATTTAAAAAAAGAAGAAGGGTGATTTGGTAATTAAACAAATAAAATTTATTACAAAAAGGTCCTTTGGGACTTCAGAATAATTTCATGATTTCAAGGGACTTTTTTGTATTTAATTCCCTTGAGTGGGACCTAATTGCAATTCTCCCTAAAAACTAATTCCAAATAAATCTGTTTCTATTCACACATCATGAATATATAAATAAAATAAAAAAATAACATAAAAAGAAATTAAAAATTGTAATATTTTAATTTAGACATTTAAAAGATCAAAATTCCAGGAAAGAAAGTGGTGTCAGATCTGATATTTTGCAAATATAGTCAAATGACTAAAATATCCTTATACCATATTTTTTAAGAAAAAAACTATTAAACTTGTCATTGTCATTACATTTTTTGTAATTGATTGTTCAATACTTGTCATTATTAGTTTACAATTTATTAATAAATAACTTATTATTATTAATATATTTCTTGTCATTTACTGTTTAATACTTGTCATTGTCAATTTATAACTTGTTAACAAACTTTTTAATACAAGAGTATTTTTATCATTTAACTATATTTATAAAATATTAAATCAGGTATCATTTTAAAAAAAAAAAAATTTTGATCTGTTAGGTACAACATTCTCAAGTTACGTTAGTAGCAGTAGTTTGATTATGATGAAGACGTCGGTGATTATTTAATTTGGTGCGAGAGAGTCAATTTTTCGATGCAAGCTGGCATGAGCGTATTGCATACGTTATATTAATTGTTTATGGCCCACGTGAATGCTTTTCAAATATTAGTTTCAATACATAATATAAAAACTAATTAACTGATTTGAACAAATTAAAAAAATTAGTTAAGTTAGTTATTTATAATAAATAACTATAATTTTTTTAAAAATATCCTTATAATTCATGTGTGGTTGAATTACTTTTTAATAATAACTCCTTAACATATCCAATAACTATAGAGATTAATTAAGCACAAAATGAATAAATACGAGAAATATAATAGATTTAATACTAAATTGAATGTTAAACTAGTTTTTATATCAAGAATCGGATGTAGTAT